TGCTTGGTTCTATCTTTATCACACCGACTATAGAGTTTCGCAGACAGACCACACCACAGTAATGACTCCGTCCAGTGATCAGGAGATATCATATATATATATATATATATATATATATATATATATATATATATATGTATTCCTCAACGTTTGCACAACTCGGGTTTTCATGCAAAGGCCAACTTCAAGCGCCGAGCATGGAGGACCGTTACGTAACGGGGGATATAAATATATATATATATATATATATATATATATATATATTATATTTGTTTGCCGCCGTGCTTACCCAGTTAATATATATATATATATTGGCATCATAATTTTATTAAAAATTATATACCTTCAAAAATCTTTTTAAAATTAAAATCTTTTTTAAAATACCGCTCTTCGTGACCGAGTAAGTTAACGGACCTCCTACGAAATGTGACGCATATTCGCATCCTGCCGAGGGGCGGGTCTAATTATATAATAACTTTTCTCGAATCAGTCGTAGCATCTGATGAGGTAATTTAATGTATTACTCATCTTAACATCAAAGCGCCAAAGCATTTTCCTACACACTGTTTTTTCGTTCATTTCAACCTGAAGAAGCAGAACCTGACACATATCAGTGAAAGAATTTAACCCAAATAAATACATAAATAAACGACTTCCGGTAAAACAACCGCAAAAATAGACTACCCACAATGCACTACTGACCCGTATATATGTAAATAGCCGAGAAAAATAACAGAACTCGTGACCTGACGATTGCATTCAGCATGAAACGCACTGTCGCCTCTAAGTTTTGACTTCTATGTTCATTTATATATATATATATATATATATAGAGAGAGAGAGAGAGAGAAAGAGAGGGGGGTAAAAGGTAGATAATTATTTTAATGTTTTTAATTTGTTTAACAGGAGTGATGCATTTTTTTTTATATTCTAAAAGAGAATTCACCTGCATTTTTGTGTAGCTGGTTACGAAAAAATATGTTGATATTACAGTTACTGTCGCTGTAAACTTTGGTATTATTGCTTAGGTTTGAAAGAAACAATTTTATTCAGCTGTCTATAATATAGTTAGAAAAAAAACTGTTATATCTAGCTCTTATTTTATATTACTAAGTTACCTGAGGTAAAGTAACACGCACACACACGTCCACACAAATATATATATATATATATATGTGTGTGTGTGTAATATCCAAATATGAGAACGAAAATAATATATAAATTCTAACGTTCACAGCATTAATTCAAAAAAAGTTTCATTAAATACAACTGACAAGATACTGCGATTATGCTTTTTATTCAATTTTTCTTGTGATCATTTCTTTTTTATTTTATTTTGGGTACAAATTGTATAAGAGTTAGTCAAATGTTTATATATCAGTGCGCTTTCGGCTATTCTGATTTTTACGTATCTATAGTGATCAGAATGTTTTTTTTTCCAAACAGGAACAGCACCTTCTGACCGTTTTCATGGTTGATATTATTGAGTGTTGGCTTTTTTCATTTTTTATTAATAATGCTTCCATTTTTTAACCTTTTTTTATTTTTACATGTGGATGAGGTTATTAAAGTCGTATTTTCTACGAGTATGTTGCGGACGGAGACTGGTAGATTTCCGTATATCTTTAAATTAACATTCTTGATAATGTCTAATGGGATATATATATATATATATATATATATATATATATATATATATATATATATATATATATATATATCGACTAACTCCGACAATTATTTTAATATAGTTTCTGTTTATACGTTATTTATATAGATACATATATTTAAATATATGCTCTATTTATAATAAAATAAATTTTACCTTGTTAATCAGATTCTTCCTCTATAGCTAAGTGGTATAGCGTGTCAGGCTATATGATGGTCCTGTGTGCGATACAGGTTCTATTCTTGTCGGAGAACACATATTTTCTCTGAGATTTCTCGGACATTAAATGTTGTTAATACTGTTTATTATAAACAGAGCATTTACTTAAATATTTATATCTGTAAAAGTAACGTATAAACAGAAAATATATTAAAATAATTGTCGGATTTAGTCTGTTTCATAATATATGATGTCATTTTTTTTACTTAGTGCAGGTATGAGCGTTCGAGAGAGATCATGGGATGTTTGTAGTTTAAAAACAGTAATTTGATCTTGCTAACCAAACGATTCTTCTGTAAGCTAAATAGTATAGCACGTCAGGCTATATGACGGTTCAGTGTAGAATACAGGCTCGATTCCTGTCGGAGAACATAATTTCTATAAGATTTCTCAGACATTCTGTTTATTATAAACAGAGCATTAACTTAAATGTTTTTATATTTTTGCATCTGTGTATGTGTGTATGTCTGTATGTATATATATATATATATATATATATATATATATATATATATATATATATATAAAAGAAGGGAGATGTCAAAAAATAAGCAGACCCATAAAAATTCATATAAACAAGATATTGAACGATAAAGTGAGAAAAAGGTAGGT